AGTATCTAAGTCGTATCAACATGAACTATGCCTTAAAGTGTTTTTCCTTGCCTGTGTAAACTTGCTTTACAAGCCACATTCTAGATTATATTATGATTATCTATGCAAAAAGCCTGTGGGCATGCAAACTTGTTTTAGTAATGCTTGTGTTTTCACTCTGTCAATGTGATTTTTCTATTGGGAAATACAGTCTAAACAAAAACCAAGTTTTATAGTTACAGAAATAGTTATATGACATCTCTAGCACTCACATAAAATTTAACTTGGTTTTACCAATATTCTAAAAAGCACTCTGATATTCTCATCACTAGTAATGTAAGGGCTCACAGTCACATGTCAGCAGGTAAGGGCAGAATTAGGTATCAGGAGTTATTTCACTTTTCACTGCTTAGATTTGTATCACGCCATCATTCTTTTGGAACAGTATTATTCCCACATGGATCACATCACTGGATAGCTCTTAAGGCCATGACATGTTAAATATTATCACTGTACTACCCAGAAAGCGACAATGTCTTGCAGTGGTATTGTTAGAGAGAGCCCATGTTCCTTCCATTCCTCTTTTATTAATTCCAGTTTGCTCAGGCTCAAACTCGTCTTTTGTTTTTGTAAAGAAAAAAGTACGTATGAAGGAGTTTCATGTACTAGCCATTCAGATTCTTGCATATATATGCTACATATTACGTACTCCTTTACTTTATTCTCCACTTGGAGGTCATCAATGTCTCATGCCAGAGTAACGTCACAGTTACTAAAACAACTTGTTGCTAGCAACAAAAGAAGAATAAAGAAGTGGAGTGGTATGTGACTGCTGCCAGTTGTAAAGGTCTAGAGCCTTCATTCGTGGCACACATGCTCTAATGCCCTATGAAACAAGAAGCCAGTATCACCAGAGACAGGCAAGTAAAAGAAAATAGTAATAATTAAAAAATCTCCCCATGCAAACCCTATGACAGTCACAGAAAATGTTCCTTTATTTCTTAGGGAAATAGAGAAATAGCAGTTACCTCACTTCTTATTTGTTTGCTTATTTATCTCCAGGTAGATTCTAATACTGCAAAAATCCATGCATTTCTTTTCCTCTCCAACATATTAAGAAGGAAACTGGCCAGAGACATTTAATAATGGCTGGTTAAAAAGTGTTCTAGAAACTGAGAAACTGCTAAAGTTGATTTTTAATTTGCTGTTGTTGAAATCTGATACAAAGTCTGTTTTTTGCTAATTAGATCCTCTCACTTGAGGAACAGAATAGAGAAACAGACAAATGTAACTAAGCGTTTGTCCAGTTTTCTGTAAAACAAACCTGAGAGAATAACTCTTAGTTTAAGGTATTCTGCTATTATGTTTTCAACCAGCTGTATTGTTTCTCATCCTTACAAAGTACAATAAAAAGCTTCAAAACTGAAGAATGAGAAACAAGCTGCAGAAAAAAAACCAACAGGGTTCTAACAACTTTGTTTATGAAACAGAAAAATAACAAAAATTACTATTACTTCATTAAGCAGTTTTTCTTACATTAACCCAATATTTTAATTAGCATGGGCTATGCCTTACAGATGTTTCTGAAAGACTTAGGCAACTTTTTTCACTCTAGTTTGTGAACACTCATTTTCTGTTGAATTTCTAAAAGGTTTTGTAAAAAAGCAAGCAAGCAAGTGAAGTCTATCGTCAGGAGAATTCATTTGCTATATAAGTATCCACAACTTCAGTGCAAACTTGTCTGGAGTGTGAATAATCCAAAAGATTGAATGCAACTGTAAGTTTTAATCTCTTTTTAAAGTAGCTATCAAACATTATCTAATAAGTTACTTTAAAAATCGAATTATTAACTTTCTCTTTAATTTAAGAGAGATTCACCTCAGATTCCTTCACCTGATTGTAGGAATCGTTTTTGCAAAGTAAGGAGATAGTTGTTTCTTAATACACAGAGTAAAACTTCATGTGACTGGCTACATATTTACTGTTAATGCCTCTGTTAACTCAGAAGTGGAGCTGAAGTAACTCTGTCTACATTTATCAGTACCTAACAGAAACTCCTTATTTGCAAACTTCAGATGGTCAATGAAGACACATTATTAATACTTTAATTCCAAACTCATGGCTTTGCTTCCAAATAAGATGCAGTAATTTTATGGTGTCTTTATTAAGCTTAAATTTGTGTACCAGGCTGATTACTTCATTAAAGAATTCATCTACTAAAATGTGAGAAGGATATTTAAGAATTTCTTGCTTTTTATTATTCAACAAGGGTAACAATAAGGGTAATATGGTTAGCCTTATATTTTCCACAATGCTTGAGAATCCTTTCCACTTTTCTTCACATTAAACAATCTTAGCACCATAATCCCTGATATTAACTTGTCTTATGCATATTCTATTTCATTTGTAAAGGTCACTGTCTTTTTAGCATTTAAACATTGCTGTAAGCCAGCTTTTTACTTACATTTAGGTCTTATATTAATCTTTTAACCAAGAAAAACAGTGAAAAAAATTATTGCTGTAGTTAATTATAATGAAAGAATATTTCATTAGTGAGAATTAAAGTCACATAACTAAGGTGTAAATATGCCTACTGCCTATTGATTTTGGTAAGTTATAAATAAAATTCTGAGTTTAATGGGGGTATAAAACCAAAGTGTAATGTTTCTCAAAGAAAACTTGAACCAAAAGAATCTGCTGAAAATACAAGAACAATCCCGTGATTTTAATCTAACAAGGACGACCAGCCTGGTATAGTATATAATGTATTGGGAAAATCACATTTCAGTAAAGCAGGACTGTTCCCCACGACCACCCTAACTTAAACTAAATTAAAGACTGGAAAGCTCAAAGGAAACTCTCTCTTGTGACAAACTAAAATAGAGGCAGTGTCATGTAAATGACAAATGTTGAATCAAATCTACACTTGTGGATAAAGCTATTTCACAAAGTTCTCCAGAAAACAGCATATTCAAATAAAACAAATACTTAAACACATTTTCACCCTTATTTGACAAACTAAACTCCTTGGTATGAAGTTTATATAACTATTTTGCTTATTGCAAAGAAATTTCACAGCCTGATGACATGTACTCCCTGCAGAAGAAAGAAGACTTGCAGCTGATGAACTAAAGATGTTTGTTAGCTGAGGAAGCCATCAACTTGAATGACATGTAGTATTAATGTGCTGCATTCAATTGGTAAATGTTTCCAGAAGAAAGCTGACATGCTTTGAACAAGCTTTATTTTTTCCTTGCAATTTCAAGATGAGAAAAGCTCTAATCATAAAAGCAGAAGTTTTGGAATATTTAGGATCACAGATCTGTGTCCAAGAACATAGCTTTGAAAATGTTATCTGAAGTACATACTTAAGAAATTCACTCACCAGAAATCCATTTAACATTGGAGTAAATATTTTTTCCCTATCAAAGGCAAAATCTTTGCAACAGAGATAGAAGCTGAAGTCTTTCCAGCCAAAACACCATTTAAACATTGTACAGGAAGTTAATACATCTTTAGCAATTACTAGACACTTTTGAACTACAGAAATCAAATGGAATATTGTGAACAAGAGTTGGTGAAACTATTGGATCTGCCTTTCGAATGTTTGTATGACCAGGCTTTTAAATGTTGTTATTTTATTGTACACATAACTCTAAAATAAGTTCTAGTATTACAGTACAGGAATTAAAAGAAACCCAATCTAACCAGTGTTATGCCACTGTGTGTTTTCAAATGAGTTTAGTAAAATCCTACTATAAAGTCCAGACCCCTTTTTAAGAAATAGATCTAAAAATCTCTCTAAAGTGGCAATCCAAACTTTCTGCTCTCCCAGAAGCTGTTGTAAGTGGGCTCACAGAAACTAAAAAGAAAGTCACCCCCTCCAAATTGCTGAGTGATGTGACATGATGACTAGAAACAGCATTCAAATACTATTTCAACAATAAAATATGACTCTATGTTTAGTAAAAATGCCCAGTGGAATTCTTCTCTGGATTCACATTATCACACACTGCACTGTATGACTTCCACTAGCAAGTGCTGCATCACATGGCCAAGTGAGTAGTTAAAACAGCTTAAAATTTACACCCAGAATCCTAGTTCCTATCAAAATCTATGTTTCCATGCGTAATTAAAAAAAAAAAATAAATCTGAGCTTTTAATAAGGTTTTGCAGGGGAGACCACAAAATATGCACTGGCCAACATAAAGTGACCTGACGGTTTCAGTTCAGTTCTTCAGTACAGCAATGTCCAAATCATAAACTCAAATTCTAAAGGATTTCTACATGATCAGCATATTGTCTAAACTAAGACCTTTTACCATCCAGTTACTGATAAGCAGATATTTAAATAATACCCCAATTAATAAATTTAAAAAGAAAATAGAAATAGAACTCCATCTTCCTTTTATAATAACTGTGAACAGACGCTACTTCCCAGTTTGAACAGATGGCTGAACATGTTCCCCCCACCACTTGCCTTTTAAACAAGTTACAAGCTGGCTTTTAACATAACACCAAGACCTACAGTTTTATACATCTATACATAGGGGCCGGACAGGACAGGACAGAGCAGACACCTTTGCTACCGGATCATGCTGTGGTAGAACAGCTGTGCCCGTCTCCAGCGTCTGCTGGTATGATCAGAAACTGGGCTCAACACCCCTTCTCTGCCCCTTGACCTCAGGGGGCGGCCACAAGACGCAGATAGCCCCACACATCTGGAGAGGAGACCGATCTTCACTTTTGGTGCCAGGCAGCAGACGAACTGTTGCCAGCGGTATCTGTAGGACACCTATCTCAAGGAAAAGAGGACTCGCCTGCTTTGGGCAGAGGATGGTATTTGAGGGCGGCGTGTGTCGCCGTGCGCGGAGAATGGGGGGGATATCCGCCAGCGTCCACAGGGGCGGCCGTGGGGAGCCGGCCCAAGGAGAAGGGCGTGCGGCCGTGGATGGAGGGGCTGCGGCCTCCTCTCCTCTGCTTCCGCTCTCCCACCCTGCTCTCGCCCTTTTACCACGTACCATCTCGATGATTTTGGTCTTCCTGCCCGTCTTCTTCTTCATGGTGAAGATGTACTGGGCCAGAACCACCCCGCCGACCAGGGCGCACACGCTGGCGCTGGCCACCGCTCCCATTTTCGCTACGGCGGTCCTGTCCATAGTAGCTCACGGGGGGCACGC